ATCATGTAAGATAATCAAAAATTGACTATACCACATTAAATTTATTATCTGCATTTTGAAATCCAATTCTTAATGAAATATTCCATTTCTATTGAATTACCTGTTTAACTATCATTGGCCAGACTGTCTGGGACAAATCTGTAACAATAATGAAAGCTCACTGACTATATTTTAGCCTACAAGTCAATTAAATTTCAGATCACAATGTATGGATGCAGTTAAAAGGTTGAAAGTTGACTATGTATTTATAGAATTTAACAGTATAAATTATTTAGCAAAGGCTCACCTGCTTTGTATATGAAAACTCATTATACTTGAAATGAAAACCCAATAGTGTAATACAGATCTGTTAAACTTAGCCTTAAAACAATTCTTTTACGGAGTATTGGATTTTAGTAAATTTGACAATATGAGTAAAAGACAGACAATAAGGCTGTGCAATAAGTGCCAAATATCTAATCCTATTAAGAGTAGAATTAAGTACTATCTTAAATTTCATATTATATGATCACTGTCCATAGCATGGGTTGAAAGAATTAATAAATTTAGACTGTTAATATGCTTTCTGCAGCACTTCTTGAAAACAACTCTTACCACAGGTGTGTAATCTCTATGATAACTTTTCTAACAAAACCCAATACCATGACAGTAAATTCAATAATTGCTATAAATATTAACCTTTAGTGGGATCAGCAGTTGGTATAATGGCTATGTCGCTGGACTCCCATGTAGTCGACCACGGTTCAAATCCCAGACCAGGTGGCTTAAACTCATGCTGCATGCATGTGTGTGTACCTAAGATCCCAAGAGGAGAATGGAGGAGAAGGGACTGCGGCGTGGCTATGTCCCTGGGGGGGTGATTTCTGTTTTCTATCTGTCTCTCTCTACGTTTCTGGAGAGTGCACGTGCCCTATAGCAAAAAAAAAGAATTAAAAAAAATTAACTTATAGTATCAGATTTTCAAATATTTTCTTTTTTTTTTTTTTTTGAGTGGTTTTTGTTATAGTGCATGTGCACTTGCCAGAAAGAAAGAGAGAGACAGAGAGACAGAAAGCGAGAAATCACCCCCTGGGGGGATGGCCACGCCACAATCCCTTCTCCTCTATTCTCCTCTCGGGATCTTGGACACACACATATACACACACACACGTGCCCAGCATGATTTTAAGCCACCAGGCCCAGGACTCGAATCACTGTTGACTACATGGGAGTCCAGCGACATAGCCATTACTTTAACTGCTGGGCTCTCAAATATTTTATTTCTACATGTAAAGGTCATTTCAATTAAATTTACTTGGGGGTTCTTGACACATATATATAGAGATTTTCCTTTGTTTTTGTTTATTTTTTTCAAGACCAACTTGAATACAAATATCATTGCTGCATGGATATAGAGTCAGAATATCTGAGTTTCAATATTAGTTCCTCTACTTATTGTGACTTTAGAGAAATTACCTGTGTATTTTACATCCCTCATTTCGTAGACTTTATTTGAAGACAACTGTAACAACGTATGTAAAAAAATAAGAGTGTTTGGAACATAGAATTCAAGCAATTGCTGCTGCTACTGAGAAAATAATAAACTGGGACCAGCAGTTAGCGTAATGGCTATGTCACTGGACTCCCATGTAGTCAAGCATGGTTCGCGTCCCGGGCCCAGTGGCTTAAAACTCCGGGCATGTATGCATGCATGCCCAAGATCCCGAGAGGAGAATGGAGGAGAAGGGATTGCAGCGTGGCCATCCCCCCTGGGGGTGTGATTTCTCACTTTCTGTCTCTCTGTCTCTCTCTGTCTGTCTGGCGAGCACACGCGCCCTATAGCAAAAACCTCTTAAAAAAATAAAAAAAGAATAAACTGAAATTATTTCATCATTTTATAAAAAGGGCATAAACTCCTTTTTGTATGCACCTCTTGGATTTACTTGATACCATTCCCAAAAAAAAACTGTCCTCAAATTTTTATAATATTGTATGGCAATGTTCAATGTTCATTAAACTTCAGATAAAGCCTCACATTCCTTGTACTGGCATGAGCACACTGGTGAGCAGCATGATTTTCAAGTCACCAAAAACAGGACTCAAAACACGGTTGGTCATGTGGGAGTACAACGCCTTAATCACCATACCACGTGCTGGTCCTAATAGCAAACATTTTTATATTATGAATTATAAAAGATCTATCTTCATACATTTTGTTAATATTTGATTTAAAAATCACTGAAGAATTCATCTATGTCAAAATACAGTAAATTATCTGAATATTGTAAACCATGTGGGTTACATAATCCAATGCTTCCAAATCATTGCCAACATTTCTCGTGGAATTTAAGCCTCTCCTCTAAGCCAATAGTTAACTATGGTTTAAAAGCCTGTCTTATTGATAAAAATCTTCTGGAACTATCTAGAGCACTTCTATAGATCCTGTTTCTTAGGAAGAAGTTAGGAAGAAAAGACTGATTTTGCTAATAACCACCTCTTCAGCAAGGCTTTTTCACCAGAGTTTGGGGAGGTGTATCCATATGCTTTCATAGTTTCTGTATGTATTCACAGATGCTATATAATTCAGCTTTTAAGTTACATATAAAGTACAACTCTCTAATTGATTAATTTTTTCCTCAGCAAACATAAGCTTAGATAAAACATTTTCCTATTCTTTCAACCTTGGGCCAACAACAGTATCATCAAGAAGTAAATAACATTTAACCAGTGGCTGTGGATAAGAGTAGGAAAAAAACAAGTTCAATGAGTTGTTCATTTCTCTACCCAAAATATATGGAGAATGAAAAGGAAAAAAAAAAAAAACACTGGTATCTCTTAGTATGAGGCAAGAGGCCTCAAAGATATCACTTTCAGATGCATAAAATGTAATGTGTGTGTAAATTTGTTAAACTGATGAAGTATTTTATTTTATTATAAAATAAAAATACTACTCATCAATAATACAGAAACATAACAGATGACAAACATATGAGCCTCTGTAGGACTATCTAAATATTTTCACTCACGTACAGAAAAAAGATACAGGCTTAAATTACCTGAGGGAAGAAGATGGTAATATATTTGAGAAAGCCTAAAAACAGCAGAGACAGATAGAAGGGATGGTACAAAGTGAAGAGAGTGCGTTCCATGGGAAGGAATAAAGAAATAAAGTAATAAAGAAAAAAGTAATAAAAGAAAAAATAAACACGGCAAGTCATCATAAAACACATCTGCTGACCTATTTCAGATCATAGGCCACTAAACTGAGATCTGTGTTAAAGTCTTACAGATTGAAGAGAATAAATGTATGAATGAGAAATTAATTTGAGGTCATGCTGTCTGCTTTTCAATACCCCAGACTTTTTTTTTTTAACTTTTAAAAAGTATTTATGGGGCTAACCAGTGGTATATTGATTATGGTAGCTGTATCCTATAATGGCTGGCTGTGTATGTGAAGTCCTAGATTGGCAGCTTGGAAAACATGCTGGACATGTCTACCTGCATGCCGCAAATCCTGAGAGGAACATGGCCATCCATCCCTCCTGGAGGAAAGGTGATTTCTCTCTTTCTTTCCCACTCTCTCTCTCCATGAGCGCATGTGCCCTATTGCAAAATATATTTTCTTTCTTTCTACCTGCCTACCTATACCTATACCTACCTACCTACCTTCTATCTATATCTGTGTTTTAAGACTTAGCAGCACAAAATTTTCTGAATTTAGGTAACCAGAGCATAAATACAGGTTAAAAAATATAAAGTTTACAAATTAGTTTGACACTGTCAATAGTACATACCATATTCATTAAACACAAGCAGTAGGCATCTACTTTTCCCTAAGACTGGTCACTTTCCTCTAAGCAACTGGTGCCTTTGGCTCCACTCAAAGTCTAGAAGTAAACTCAATGGAGCTGTTTCATGGCTTCTTACACGCTGCCCAGGGTTTCATCCAAGAGAGGACACATGACCCCAGAAAGGTCATTCAAAAAACTCTATTCCAGGATGACACACCAAGAACCAGAACAGTTCTCTTTCCTTCTGAGACTGCAGGATACGCATAAGGATGGTGGAGTCAATGTTCCCATTATTATAGATAATAATTCTCCCACAGAGAATGGAGCAAACGAAAGCCACAAGATGGAGACAAACTGCTGAAACATAACTAGACACCTGAACCTAAAAATCTAGTCAACCCCAGGAAATCTCATTTATGAGAGCTAATGTATTCTGGTTTGTGTTTAAGCAACTTTAAATTTGACTTCTACTACTGACAAACAAAATCTTCTCAGAAACATGAGACAAAGGATTTGCATTTAGTTTACATTTCTCTACTCATACCATAGAGTACCCCATGGAACGTTTTGTTAAAAAAAAAAAAAACCTAACCATAACCAAATTTTCCTTTCAAGAATTTTTCTGTTCCAATATACATGAATATTCATTATTCAATATCATTACCCCATTATCCAAACTGTGCTGATAATCATCAGTATTTTTGAGGAGAAAAAGGAATAGTAAAGGAGAATGAAGGAAAGGAAAAGGAAACAGAACTACCATCGCTACCATGATTTTCTTCACTAAATTCCTGAGTTCAGCACATATTCTACATATACTTAAAAAGCAATTTTTAATGAGATCTGTATCTATCATTATTAATAATCAGGGCATCAATACTGTGAAAGTATCATACACAAAGCCTTAATTTATGAACCCATCTCAGAATAAATGGAACAGACTCCAAAAAAAAATTAAAAGCATTTAAACTAATTTTTGTGGTATGACATGCTCATACAAAAATAAATTCTGCAATAATACATCAATACAAATACACATGAACATCGATAATGTGACAAAGAAAGAAATTATAAATACCTCCTACCTACTAGTCTTGGAGGCATGATTAATGAAAAGAATATTTCAGAAAAACAGCTATCATCATCTCCATTTGCAGCAGTTAAATCAATAGTGCCTCTCACCACAGGTTTCAGAGATGAACCAAACCAGGGAAAGCAAGACATACTCACAAATTATAAAGCATGTCAGCCATGTTGCTGCGGTAGTACAAAGCATTTCTATAGGCGCTTTCAGCTTCAGAAATTTTGCTCTGACTCTTCAGAACATTTCCAAGGTTACCCCATGCTGCCAAGAAGAAAAAGAAGTATTCAGGCTGAGCGTCAATCCAATTATACATGACATAATATCAGGCTACCAGGAAGTACCATGGGGAGAGAAAACCTTCATAAAATATTTTTAAGAAGGAAAATGTATTTCCTTTATACTTTAATGTTTCATCAAACCAGAAGATTAAATACAATCAAAGCCTTAAAAAAAAAGAAAAACTCAAGGAATTATTATGCTTCAAAGCTGATATACATATACAGTTCATCATAAAGCCAAGAACAATGTTATCGTAAGTACACCTACAAAGACTTTGTGCTCTTTCAAATTTCAGGAAGGGTCTTCATGTTCTGAAATTATTGTATATTTCCTGGACCAGAAATTGCAGGAAATCATTTTAAAACAAAGTTCCATTCAATCATGAAAAAAATTGATAAATGGCATAAAGATCTGGAGATGAAAAGCAAAAAATAAAATAAAAAAAACTAAACAAGATCGAAGCTATATAAAAATTAATAGGCATCAAAATAGAAAAATATTTTACTTCTTAAAACAGTTAGGTATTGGGAAGCAGCACATGGCATAGTGGTGTTAAGGTGTTGGACTCCCACATGGTAGACTGTGGTTCAAGTTCCAGACCTGGTGGCTTAAAACTCACGCTGGGTACGTGTACATGCATGCCTCAAAGCCCTGGAGGAGAAGGGATTGTGGCATGGCCATCTCCTCTAGGGGGTGAATTCTCACTTCCTGTCTCTCCATTTCTCTTTGGTTCTCCGGTAAGCACACACACCCTATAGCAAAAATCTCTCAGGGTGAGGGGGAGGAACAAAATAAAAACAGTTAAGTATAGGGGCCGGTGGGTGGTGTGGTGGTTAAGGCTCTGTACTCCCACATGGTCAACCTCAGTTCAAGTCCTGGACACAGCGGCTTAAAATTAATGTTGGACATGTGTGTGTACATTCACAAAATCCCAAGAGGAGAGTGGAGGAGAAGGGACTAAGGCATGGCTATCTCCCCCAAGGAGATATTTCTCTCTTTTTGTCTCTCTCTCTTTCTCTTTCTGGTGAGTGTACTTGTCCTATAGCAAAAATTTCTTTAAAAAAAAGTTAGCTATACATGGCATGTTCAGATAACAATTGTTTAACCCTTCTTATGAATAAGTTCACTTCTAAGAAAATGAGCATATTCACACACAATCATGATAAAAATTTCATATATGTTTTGCATATCCTTTATTTTCTCCCTCAATAATTGTGGTTTCTCAATATTTAAAAGATCAAATGGTAGAGAATCATTAACTGCCAATGTAGTATGGATCTCAGATAGACTTAGTCCTCCAACTAGGCTGCTTCTTTCATTTTCTTTCCCCTACCCCCAAAGGAGATGAGGTGCTGTGTCCTGCAATCAGAATGCCCCAGTAGGAAGATGGAGATAAGAAAAAGAGTTATGTGTATTAAGGTATATTCATTTGGGTGATTACTGACTATCTGAAGAGTGAAAGGGGGGTTGAGGAATCAATTTTTAAGGCATTAAAAAGGTGCAAAATCTCTCAATCCCAGATTTGCTCATGTGTCTGTTATAATTTTATACTCCTGTGCTTTAGGTTACTCATCTGTAAAGTAGAGAAATAACTCGTTTCTCATGGACTTTGTTATGAGGATTAAATGAATATATGGGTTCTTCAGAAGGTTCACGGACAATGTGTATTAGGAAAATAATGTTGTGTGAATTTAAAAAAAATATGCACATCAAGTCAGCAGGTTGGGTGGTGGTTAAGGTCTTGGATACCTAAATGGTCAACTGCAATTTAAGTCCCAAACCCAGTGGTTTGAAAATTACATTGGGCTCCATGTGTATATGTGCCTAAAATCCTGAAAGGAGAAGGAACTGTAACATGGCCACCCCAATGCGGGGGAGGGAATCTCTCACTTTCCCTCTCTCTGACTCTTCCTGGTGATTGCACAGGCCCTATGGCAAAACCTACCAACTTTTTTTTCTTCACCATTATAAACTTGCACTTTAATCCCATTTTCCACAAATGTTTCATAGTACTCCATATATATAAAGGTGTTTAAGGCATTGTCCAAAACCTGGCAAAGACTTAATAAATACACTATTATCAGTAATATTACTGTGATTGATATCCTTTACAATGTACAATGGTCAAGTATTACCTTCAGAAATATTATTAGAGGGACCAGCAGGTGGTATAGTAGTTACATTACTGGACTCCTACATGGTTGAGTGCAGTTTGAGTCCCAAAGCCAATGGCTTAAAAATCATGCCAGGCGTGTGTGTGTGCACAACCAAAATTACAAAGAAAAGAATCGAGGAGAAGGGATTGTGGCATGGCAATACCCTGTGGAAGGTGATTTTTCACTTTCTGTCTCTCTAGTGAATACACATGCCCTGTAACAAAAAAAATCTTAAAAAAAAAAGAATAATAGATACAACACACTTTATACCCTTACACTATCTACAGAGGACACCAATCATTTATAATATATTTAGGAAGACATACACATTCTTCCTCAGATGGAAAACAGAAGAAAGGTACTGAACTCATCTAATAGCACAACATACCATGCCACACACTTGACAGGTATTTGAGCTATGGACACTACCTTGTATGTAAATACTGTGCCCATTGTACAGATTCGGAAACAGATTTGGAGGCACTAAAGAACTTGCTAAGTAAATAATAAGGTATTACAACAGAATTCCAGTCCACAGCAGGCTACTTCTCAGTCTTTTCTACTCTCCATCTCACATTTTCATAGCAACTTCTGTCTTTCACCACAAACCAACATTCAAAGATTATAAATTAGTCTTTAGCACTGTAAATGCATAGAAAATTGTATCCTTAAATGAAAAGATAAAAGTGCAAAATATGTCAAATTGGTACAGCTGGCAGTGTGGTGGTTAAGGTGGCTGGATTCCACATAATTGACTGTGCAATTTGAATCCCAGATCCATGACTTTAAAACCACTCTGGGCTTATGAGCATGTGTATCCAAATCCCAAAAGGAGAAATAGAGAAGAGATTTTGGCTTGGCCAAAATGAGAGAGAAAGCCAGGAAGAAGTCACAAAAACAGACAGGGGTTTGGTCATGCAGGGTCTGATGAGCCACATAAGACTGAAGGTTATTTTATTTGCAATGTGTGGGTGAAGATTCAGTGAGAAAGCTTTGTGACATGACTTTTTTTTTTTTCTTTTTTTTTAAACTTTGATAAAAGGCTTGTGCACTCAGCAGAGAGACACAGAGAAGTGAGAAAGCACCTCCCTGGTGAGCAGTCATGCATCATAATCCCTTCTCCTCCATTTCTGGTTTTGGGAATTTGTGTATGCATGTACACACTCCTGACATGTCTTTCAAACCAATGTGAATTGGAACTGCACAGTTGGCCATGTGGGATCCAGCCACTTAAACAGCTAAGCTCTAGGCTGGCCCGTGACTTCTATTTTCAAAACATCACTCTTGATTCCTCTATGGAGGAGGTACCCACTGTAAGGGAACAAAAGGAGCACTGGAGAGACCAGTCAGAAAATAACTCTGGTAACCCAGGGCTCAGGATTAGTGTGGTTTTCAACAGAGCAGATGGGCAGCAGAGGGCCTGGCTATTTCAGGGAGAAAACCTAGAAATTAAAAATCATTGACATTAACTATAGCAAAGTCACAATGTAAACTAAGCCTCTTGCTTTTTGTCCAAAATGAAAATCTCTCACATCCTTATGATTAAGTTACTCCCTTATGTGCCTGGAGGCAGAAAAAGGAAATTCCCCAATTAAGCATACATTTTAGAAACAATTTTAACTGCTTAAGGATGAGGAGGGAAGGAAAGGATGGAGAGATGGACAGACATTAAGAAAGAAGGGCCAACAGTCCTGGAAGTCTGTAACTACCACTATCAGGCCATTCTTCCCTCTGTTGTATATACACAATCTTATAGAACACCAGCTTCTGACAAAATTACTCTAAGACTATGAAAAATCAAAGAAAAAAAGACCAGTCCTTAACTATGTCTAAACACAAAAAGAGAAAGGTCACCATAACCTACAGAACATTCAACATCTTCCTCTGGATAAATGACTTCCCAGCATCCAATCTGAGGTAACCCCTACTTTCTTAGACCCTCTCCCAAGTCACCCACCTAAAGTCAAAATCCCTTAACAGGACATATAATGAGATATCCCAGAATTATTTATGGTGGTTCTTCTCACAGTACAAGGAGTAATTAGGCAACTTTGAATCCAGGTGTGTCCCTGGTGACCTTGTCTGAAAACCAATGACACAGAGGATTTCATCCTACTAAAATACAATTCCCTCACAAAATCGCTTCTTCCTTAAATAACCGTTTCTCAAGTCTGTGTTTCCCAAAATAGATTTTAGTTTTTTGAAGAGCTGCCAAAATGACAACTAAAATTGTCATACATTTTTTTTTTTTTGGTGTGAAAACTGCTGTCACCATTTCCATACTTTGAAATATAAACGTGATTGATTTCTGCATTAATGCTATCAATAAATGGTAACATAAGTGAAGATCCTGTATAAAAATAAAAAGGTGTTGTGATGGTTAGCTTTTGAGTGTTGACTTGGCTAAGGACTAATTACAAATCTGGTAACATCTGTTCTGGGTGTGTGTGTGGAAGGGTTTCCTGAGGGGATTAACATGTCAGTCTGAGTAAACTGGGACAGGGTGGCGGAGGAGGGATAACTGTTTGTGGGTACCATTCAATCAATAACATCACCCACCCTATGAGAACAAATACAGAAGGATGAGTCTCTTTGGCCAGAGAATGGAATAGCCTTCTGTTGGCTTAGACATCAGGACTCAAGGCTAGCCTGCCTCTGGGCTCCAAGACTCATACCAGCACATTACTCCTCGCCATCCTGGGTTCTCAGGTCATAGGCTGCAAGTTCCATCCCTGGCTTCCCTGCCTCTGAAGCCTTCAAATTTGGACTGAGCCAGGCTACCAGGATCCCAGGATCTCCAGGTTGCTGATAGCCTACTGTGGGACT